GTCAGATTGCCTGCTGCCTGTTGTGACTCGGATATTTTGGACTCTCTAGCTTGCTGCCTGCCCCTGACCTTGGCCTGTTTCCTGGACTTTGCCTTCTGCTCACTGATTCTGTAGTTCGTTGCCCGGTTTGTTCTGATGGTCAGCTCCCACAACCACGCTTCAGTCTCTTGATCCTGTTTCTACGCTGCCCCCCAGATTGACCTCTGGCTTTGCTGACTTCCTGCTACTGGACATCTCCTGTGCGTTGTCTGGTCCCCTCAGTGGCACTTTTGCCACTGTCCTTTCGCTCTATGGTCCCATCTCCAGGGTACGTGATAAATATCCATATTCTGAATTCCGTATTCCATATTCTGAATTCCAAATTCCATATTTCAAATTCCATTTTCCAAATTGCGTTTTACGCAAATTGCGTATTCCAAATTAATTTTTCCGTATTTAAAATTCTGTGTTCGATATTCTGAATTCCATATATCGTATTCGGAATTCATAATACCATATTCCGAATTCTGTATTCAAAATTCCACATTCTGTATTGTGAATTCTGTATTCCATATTCAAAATTCCACATTCTGCATTCTGAATTCTGTATTCCAAATTCTAAATGCTGTCTTTTGAATTCCAAAGTCTGCATTCTAAATTCAATATTCCACATTCTGCCTTTTAAATTTGTATTCCAAATTCCATATCACAAATTCTGAATTCAAATTCTATATTATGAATTCCGTATTCCAGAATTCCTTATTGTGTTAAATGCTAACTTTAAGCAAAGTTTTATATATATATGGGTCAGCATTAAACATAGACTAGTCAATGAATTCACTGCTGCAATACTTCAGGCCTACCTAAATGCAAGCATATCTCACAAAATACTATTAAGAAGTAATTCAGAAATGGAAAACAATGCAGAGTTGGCTTATCACTTAAGTGGGATAACATATTTTAGAGCAGAAGCAAAACACACACACTGAGCAATTACTTTTTTGTATGTATGTGGTTGCTCACTGTACAGAAGAACAAAGAATTAGAAAAACATTCTGCACTTTAGAGCTACCTTGAGATACAAATTACCTTATTGCTAAATCTTCGAGCAATAATTAACAATGATCAATAATCAAAATGTCAGTGGAATTCCACTGACATTTTGATTAGCTTTTGATTAGCTTCCAATCCTACTGTTGGTGGTACAAGGTGCTGTTTAGTTCTAAGCTGGTTTTTAACAGTATGCTCCCAACCTATTGTAGGCCACAAAGGGTCTGGTATGAATTAGGGGGAACCTCACACTTTTTTTTCCATTTTCTGCAAACTAAAAAAAAAAAATTGATTTTTTTTTCCCTAATGTCATTTTGCTGCAACGAAATTTCGTCCATAAACGGAATTTCGGCCGGATTACCGCTAAAAAACAAAATTTCGTCCAAAAAAATAAATTTTGACCCGACTACCGCTAACGAATTTTGTCCGAATCCGAATTCCGAAACAAATTTAATTTCGGACCCGAATCCGAAAAACGCAATAAGGCAAAATCCATGTCAAAACAAAACTAAACACATTTTTTGCTGGTGCACATGTCTACTCCCCATTCTGCCAGACACACAGTCTAGGGCGGGGCTCCTTTCTTAGGAGGCTGGGAGTTCTTGTAGAGGCCCTAACAAGCCAGCTAGCTTCAGCTGGGCTTGTTACCTGCAAGCCTCCAGCCCTCTCAGCACTTCCCCCTAGAGAAAGAAATTCAGTATTATATCTGAATTTAGGGCATACAACTCTGCCATCCTGGCTAGACTCAGACATTTTCCTCTGCCTGCTGCCACAATATATATATATATATATACAGTATACATACTGTATATATAAAGAATGCTCAACTAAAATCTTGCAAAATTCTACCAACATAACAAAGTATTTCAGCACCCTTATCAACAGACTTCTCTTTTCAACACCTCAATTTACTTTTAGTGTCATCATGTCTACAGTAATGCATACAGTATTTACATGCATGTGAAATAAACAAAATGCAAAAATTCATCAAAGGGCTTGTTATTATTCTGCTCATCTTTTTGTTACAATAAATATTGAGTCTTAGTTTGGGATCAGTGAATGCATTTCCTGCAATTTAATTGGAATAAAACTACTGTAAGAATGTACTATTCAGCTCAAAGGCTGGATAAAAAATGGAACAATTCCAAACAAGACCCCACAGGGAGTAGATACATTTATGTAATTCTAATAAGTTGGGCAGTGAACATGCATCTTTAATCTTCATAAGAAAATCAGAGACTAAGCCTTGAGCAAGCTTTAAGTTGATATCATCACATTTAAAATTGCAAAAAAGCTGGTGAATATATACTCGGATACTGCATGCCGTACATCTGTATTAGGGACCTTGACAGTTTTGCTTGGCAGCTGTATATAGCATAAGTGATAAAGTAAAATGGACATTCTTGATTAGCCAATGAAAACTGCGCATGTGCTAATGTAAAAGTGATAATGCAAAAGAAATGTACTTGTTTAGCAACGTTATGTGTAAAGCAGCAGTGCTGAGGAGATATGTAAGGGCAACAAGGATTAAGAGGTAATTAAGTAGAACTAAAATAAAGACAGATTATGCAAAATGTTTTATGATGACTCCGCCTAACATAAATGTTTTATTTACCTGTTATCTTTACATTTTAGTGTATCTAATGCCTAAACTTTTTTGTTGTTGTTGTGGATAGGGGAGTGTTGGGGGTTAGAACCTCTGTCAGGTTTTATTGCTGTCTGTGTAACCTTTTATATTTTCCCTGGTGACCACTATTACCAGGACTGAAACTGAGGGAAAATGCAATTTTCAGAGTTGTCAGCAGAACAGGCATAGAGAGGAAACTTCAAATGGGGACAATTGTTCCTGTGACAACTACTAAGAGGGGTTGTTGCATCTACAGTGAAGGAAGTGACAGGAATTCTCAGCAATAGGAAATACATAGCAAAAATAACCTGAGAACAGTTTAGAACTCCAGCTATAATTAGTTACTTAATGATATACTTTCCAGCTATAATGATATATTTTCATTGGTCTAGCTTGGCCCAGTGTACATGTATCGCTATGGTAACCATGCAGACATAGCTTGAAGGGAAATGGTTCTTCAGCTACCTAATAACTACATTAATAAAATGCTCCAAGTCCATCTACCTACAGTAAAGTCCCAGATGCATACACCTCACTCATGGTTCTTTTCTCTGGTTGGTCAGAATGATGGGCACCAGTTACTTTAGTATATTTAAAATACAAAAGGTTTTATTGTACAGGCCAATATGGGAAGGACGGTGAGGTATGAATCAGGATAAACACAGTACACTGGATCTCTTTATCTGAACTAGGCCTTGATCACCTCTGGATCTTACATTAAAATCTCTGGAAGTCAGCTTTCTAATTAAAGACTGTACTGGCTAGTTACTATCAGAGGTCAGGATCCTTGGCAATTGAGGTTCTAGTCGTGTCTTAATCTTTACTTTCAAGGCAAGCAAACATAGGTAGGTTCCCATGTATAACTTTCCACTCAACTGTCACTCACCATGTCCGTATGTGGTGGGACAGAAGCAGCTTGTTTCCTTTAGGCCATTTGCACTTCTCTTCCAGCAGCCATAACCTTCAGGAGTTCCTCCCTGGAGGGACCTCTGCATCTTTCCATGTGCCAAGGCCTAAGGTATAAGAAAGACTCATTAAACTGACATCCCCACAGGGCAGAAGCCCAGGAGGGAAAAGACAGAACAGGAAGTGGCACAGATATTTAAAAGTTCTCCGAGAATGCCTAAGCAGGTTCTCCAGTTCCACTGATTGGCCAGACTATCAGATATCCAAAAATACAAAGTCATATATCTCTCTAGCACTGGAGTAAGCTCATACAGCATGTGGCTTAGAGAACCACTACTGTTGAAATACAGTGAGGCGGGGTACAGTCCACTGCTGACTAGAGAATTCACAAAAATACAAAAAGGAATTTAGCAAAATACTACATCCCTACATAAGTATACATAAATTATCTCTGGCAGGGCCACCAGGACCCTGTAAAATACTATAGTAGCTGTATCTATTACAGTGCTTTACAGCAATCTCCCAGGTTCTGCTACAGCCACTGTACTTAGTGACTTTCCCTTTGCTTTGAATAAACAGTGGGTCACATGCTCAGCACACCGGCCATTCAGTGAACGCTTAGTATTTTTCTAAGTGAATACTAGGTATTCTCTGATTTGTTAAGCATCATTGACATCACAGCACCTCCCCTCACCTCAATCATAAAAAGCCTTGCATTTATTGATAAAATACTACGGTAGGTGTTTGTCCACTGTGCAAAGCAAGCAACCATGATTTCAGAGCAGAGGGTAAGTCGCTCATCACAGTGACTGTACAGGAACTGGGAAGATTGATATAAAGCACTGTAATAGCTCCAGCTACTACAGTGTTTTACGGAATCCCTAGTCCTGCCACGGATAATTTATGTATACTCACATTGAGTCAAGCTGGACAGCATACATATGAAACATTATAGCTGGAGTTCAGCTTTAAACCATTCCCTGCTGTATCCAAATGAAAAAAAAAAAAGCTTTGGCTTTAGATGTACTTTTATTTTATCTATTTTATCATCTTCCGGTATTTTGTATTTTACTGTACTCACATTTGGAATAATATGGGATATTTGTGACCAGGGTTGGTGGCTTCACGGTCTCCTGTTTTGGACCATAAAATTCCTTACATAGCAGCTGTCAGCCACACTAGTCTTCCTCTCATCATTCATTTATATGAACACCTCTTATCATGCAGCCTATGATTCTTATAGTAGTTATCACTTTTGAATGGATTGACCCTGTAAAGGTGAATGGCTTTGTATGCAGGCAGTTCTCATCCATCTCTGACGACACAGTATCAGATCCAGAGCTGCAGGGTGTAAGGCTTATGCTGTGCATTAGTCTTCGCAGATAGTATATTACATTTTTATGAATTTCAACTGATATGAATTGCTCCTTATTTGCAGGTTCTGGCCTTAATGATGGGCAATGGCATGAAGTAAGATTCACAGCTGAGGAGAACTCTGCCATGTTAACCATTGATGGGGATGAAGCATCCTCCGTAAGAACAAATAGTCCTCTTCAATTCCGCACTGGAAGTCGATATTTCTTTGGAGGTGAGATAGTAATTACTATGTTGCTTTATGTTATTGCTTGGCCATTTGCAAAGTACCTCAAGTGCAATTTGTCTCACGTATGCAACCATTTTAAGAAATGCATAGACTTTTCAGTGTTTTTGTTTTAGGTAAACAAATGAAGATCAGTCACCCATTAAAACCATGTTTTTGTAGTAAAATTGCCCCTATGTCCCCCCCGTGTTGCCTCCTGTTAAACAGAACATTCAGCAAGCGTCAGCCTAAAGAAAGAAATAGATTGCAATTTGGGCAATATTGCTGACACTATAGGAGGCAGTTTAGGCACTTTAGCACTTCCTTCTCACCTCCCAGAGCTAAAGAAGTATTTAAATAAGTACTTGGCAGACTCGCTGTAATCTACTCACTGTAACCCACGGGTCTTTGATCAATCCGGGCTATATGAAAAGCCCATTGGGAAGGACTGGTGAATGAGCATGGACATTGGGAGCAAATGGACCATTAAGCATGGAAAGCTGACATAGCAATCCTGTTATGTTACACAGCTGTCAACTTATTTGGGCTTTCAAAGTTTAGCTATAGAATGCTTTTTTAAAATAAAATTATTTGATATAAACTATTAAACATAATGTAAAAATATAAAATGGGAATTTTAAATGAAATTATCAAAAACATTATACTTTTTAGAAATATTTCAGGTCATAGCTAAGAAGGGGAGAGCACATAGTGCAGTGCTTAATGATAAATACTTTTGGAAGGACTACAAATGACACTCCATTTTCATATTCTGCCTGTAATACCGGTACTTATTAGATACAGCGTTGAATGAATGGGCTGAAAGGTACATCCTGCGCCAATCATATTATAGTTGGATAAACAAGTCAACGCATGCACAGAATCAAAATGTTATTCTTCTAAAGCTTTATTTATTCTTTATTAACATCAGTAGCCTTGCAAACTATCAATCCAAGTTTCCATAATCAAACATAACAACTCAGATCTGAACAGTGTTGTGACAACAGATGAAAGAAATTAGTGGCTTAAAAGAAAGTCTTTGCTTTTGTTCTTCATCACCCTGTAAAATATTCACAGAAGAAAATTGAATTTTTAATAGCTGTTGTGTGTTACTGTACATAGTTGAAGTGCATTAAATAACTACTCAATACATATAGGTGATATATGTGTATATAAAACACTTCTAAATATAAAAAACAAAAAAAGATAAAATTCTTTGGAGATTAACTTTAACATCTATGTATATCCTAAATGATCAGATAACATAAAAACATAATTTAGCAATACATTAGCCCCTTTCATTAAAAAAAAAACCTCAATGAGCCTTGCAGGGATAGGAACAGATCCATAGGCCATGAGGTTGTCTGGTAATGGATCACTGGAACTTAGGGGGGTTATCCACTAAGCTGTCAAAGGCAGCCGACATGAAGGGAGCATAACACCGTTTGGCTATTATAGGCGAGTATAGCTGATGTCAGCTGTACATTGGCTGGCTTCGGCTCCCTTCTGTTCAGCAAAGCTGAAGTAAAGAAGCAGTTCAACTCAGCTGATCCAACATCTGGATCGGCTGAGCTGAACACCCGGCAGTTCACTTGCTGCCGTTCACCCCTATTCTCATAGCAGCAGTGAGTGAATAGCCAAATGCCCCCGAGCATGTAAAAAATGTAAACAAAGGAAAGAAAACAAAATGGTGCAGGGTCCACCTCCCAAATCAACCCCAAGTTAAAAATAAAAAAGTGTGTGGGGTTCCCCCCAAAAGTCATACCAGGCCCTTTAGGTCTGGTAAGAATTTTAAGGGGGAGCCACACCCCAAAAAGGGGAAACTGTGGGGTCCCCCCTAAAATTCCCAACCAGACCCTTAATCTGAGCACAGGCCTGGCAGGTGAGTTAAGTGGGGGGACGAGCGAACTCCCCCCCTCTCTGCACCATACCAGGCCACATGCCCTCGGCATTGGAAGGGGGCTTTTCCAGGGGCCATCCCTGGAAAAGCACCTTGTCCCCATGCTGATGAGGACAAAAAAGGGGGCACCCAGATGCTGCCCTTCCTTGTGAATGAGTAAAGGGTACTTGTACCCCTACTCGTTCACTAAAGGGTTAAAGTAAAATGCAAATAAAGATACCACTTTTAGAAAAAATTATTTAACCCTTTAAGGCCCTTTTTAAATGTTTTGCATCCATGTTATATTCCACATTTTAGGCCTGAAAATGACTTAAACCCCGCAAAAAGTATATATTTTCTGAAGCCAAGACCCCATAGAATAAAAAGGTGGCAGTTGCAAATTTTTATGTTGCACGACATTAGCACAACTTATTATCAAACCGAATCATTTAAGGAAAAATGTACTTAAGTTAAATTTAGTACCTCAAAACACTATATAATTTTTTTTGTAAAATATAAAAGATAAGGTTACAACAAGTAAATAGATACCCAACATAACCAGGTTAAAAATTGTGTGCGTCCGTAAAACTGAACGACAGAATTCAATACCTCAAAAAACGATGCTGTAAAAGCCCCCACAGGCCATCAGCTTAGAGATGCATGTAAATATTGGCCCTAGAATTATTGGTCTCACTCTGGCGTGTGCAGCAATACCCAACATGTGTAGCGCAATCGTCGTTTTTGTACGTAGGCGCACCCGAAGCGTGTTTACCTGACGACGTGTGTGCTTGCGGGAGCGGCGGACTTTACATTTTTTTTTACATTATTTTTACATTTACTTTAATATTATTTTTTAAAATGTTTTTTTTAACTTTACATTAATTACTATCATATAGGGGGGCTTACAAGCACCCCATTGATAGCATATTGGCAGTGACAGGTACTCTTTAAGGTGATACTGGGGGTCCTAAAGACCCCTAGTATCACCTTCACACTCTGTATAAGCTATTGAAGAGTAGATCGCACTTCAATAGCTTATTGCTGGGCTTCAGGAGCCCAGCACTGACAGCTATGGGACCGAAAGTGATGCAATACACGTTGCTCCCGGTCCCATGGAACCCAAAGGAAAACGGAGAACAGTAAGCCGTCGGCAGTCTGCTTAACCCCTTCAGATTTCATGACCAAATTCGTGTTTTTCTTTCAATTAAGGGGTTATTTTAAAAAAACACAACAAAAGTTTTTAACAATTCCTTTAATAAAAACATTTAAATCTCAAACTCAGCTTCTTAAAATCCAGTTCAAATGTTTTCAAATTTAAATTGCTTTTTTATTTTATTTGATTGATTGATTTATTGATTGATGAACTGATTGACTGATTTTCTTTTTAGACAGTGAAGCAGACTATATTACCTTTTCCAACACTTCACTCACTTCTTTTACGATTTCAACACACATTTAAAAAAGAGGTGAATGAATGAAAGTATTACAGAAAAAGTGTGCTTTCTCACCACAATGCTAGATTACCAAGCCCAATAAATATCTCCTTTTGCAGTGATCTGCAATATATGGAGAGCAGCAGATTCAAGGAATGGAAAGCAATGTTAAATAAAAGCCTTAAAACGACATTAAGGTTAAATTCTCTCCCCCCATATTGCTTTAAGGACTTACCTTAAGTGATGCCTCTTGATCCGATCATCTTGTCATTTTCAGCAGTCCCTCCAGCGCTGGTTCTGGTCTCTGATCCAGCGTAGACTGCTGTCTCTTCCTGCCTCACGGAGTCTGTCCAGCGCACATGTTCTAAGCTATGTGCATTGACTTACACAGTTTCTCTCCCTGCTGGTGATCTCCACTTCGCATGCGCCTGCACACATCTTCCTGCACAGCTGCTTGAGAAGCTGCATTCTACAGCCGAGACACAGGTAAGTTTTTACCTATTTGGTAATTTTTTTATTGTTTTACATGTTTTTGCATATATCTTCTACTTGCTAACAGTAGATATATGTAAAAAAAAAAAAAAGACTTTATGTCACTTTAAGTTGGATTTACACCATTAGAATGTTGAACAAACAAAATAAATTTTTCGTACGAATGTTAGTGAGAAAATCTACCCTTGTATACCCTACTTTGTTCTTGTTATCTGTTGATTATTATTATAATACAGGATTTATATAGCGCCAACAGTTTGTGCAGTGCTTTACAATATAAGGAAGACATTACGATCATAATACAATTCAAGACAAGATGTTAAGGAGGGCCCTGCCCGTGAGGGCTTGCAATCCAAAAGGGAGGGGCAAGTGATACATGTTTATTTATCTGTTGTGTCTGCAGCAGCTGTGGTTGCTTTGTTATGGTAGAAATCAATGGCTGTTGTGTTTGCTTAGGTCAGTAGTACTGGGAGAATTGTTTATTCTGCCCACATTTCATGCAGACATATTGGTGTAATTTTTAACAGCCAGCGATGGTTGTTAATGTACAAGCAATCCGGCGTCTATACAGCCCCCGGATCGTTTATGCCGCTGATCTCTCCTCTGATCACCCAGAAGTGCCACTTCCAGTGCCACTATATTCAGTCTCCCTTCCTGATGTCTCCATAAAAAGGACCTGTCACATCCTATCTGCTATTATATAGGGTGCTTGTTAGCCCCCTATGTGAAAGCAATAAGGTTAGTGTAAAAAAAAAGTGTTTAAAAAAAAAAAAAATAAAGTAACATATAAGAAAAAAAAAAAATGCAAAGTCCCACGCCCCCCATGTGCACACACGCAAACACACGTCGCTGCGCCTACGTGCGAAAACGACAATTGCGCTACACATGTTACATATCGCCACGAACGTCAGAGTAAGAGCAATATTTCTAGGGCCATCAATCACTGGTAACACTAAACTGATGAGCCTGAAAACCGTTTAGATTGTACCCTATGGGGAATTTTGGGTATTGACGTTTTTTGCGGCTTCACAGGGGAACACAATTTTAAGGTTTGACATGTTTAGTATCAATTTACCCGACGTGACGCCATCTTTCATATTTTACTGAAAAATGGGGTATTATATTATGTACTGGTTTGATAAACATTTCCGACATATAAAATTGCAATTAAAGCCTCTGCTTTCAGTACATATATCATTGTTTAG